GTTTCAGGGGGTGAGGGATGGATGGATGGTGATGGGTGATGGACGATGCAGATGGATGATGACACTTTTTTACGTACCTGCGTCGTGGAACGAGAGACGAATGGCAGCACGGGCGTTATCGTTGCAACGTCCTGATCAAACGAAAAAGGTATGTATTAGCCATCAGAAAAAAAAAGCGGGGGGCTCAATAACAGGAAAGCCTGCCCAGTCCCAATCATCACGTTCCAAGCCAGCGGTAAGGGCGTTGTTTCGTGAAAAATTTGGAACTCGTAGCGGGCTGGTTGACAAGGCTTCGGATACTCAATGGCTTACCTTGGAATATGTCACCCATAATGGCGTCCCGAACAGCTACAAATGGCTTGCAGACAGGGTTCGTCACGTCATTGATAGTCGGAATGCCGCTGCCACCGTCACTCGCAGTGGCATTGGTGGTTTGTCTCTTGTCTAGGGTTGCTACACCAGCAACGGAAGAGAGAACGCTGGCGAGAGTGAGTGAACAGATGACAGTGGAGTACATCTTTTGAGTTCCAAGTTTTTGGTAACAGAGAAGCCCGAATAGAAGAAGAGAGGACGGAGGAAGAACCTGAGTAGGCTGAGTTACCAAAGAAAATTTTGTTGAGCCTTTATAGGTAAGGAATATGTTTGTTCTTTCGAAAAAGACAGCAAACCCAGATAAACGGATACATGACACCTTTTCTTTTTCGCGAGATCCATTTCAGTTCAATCGATATTGGATAGAAACCAAATGAATTATCGACCAGAGGCGGTCGTTACTTGACTTTGATTTTTTCTTCTGAAGGGAATGTCCTTTTTTTGTCGTCGATAGATTCGAACGTAATGGTACGAGGGGTCGGTACCTCGGCATTCGTATCCGAGATCTGAGAACAAGTCGATGCATTCCTACAACGCTATCGTAACGGTGGCACAGAAATTCCCATCGCGAGTGAAAGACAGAATAATTGGTTTATAGAGTTTGGCGGTTGATGAAAGTGAGGAGATCTTCCTTGCACCATGCAGTAGAAATCATCATGCCAACATTTGGATTCTTCCATTGTGTAAAAAGATAAAGGCGCAGTTCAGGACAGAACCTTTCGTCTTCTGCGCAGTCTGTAGATGCACTAACGCCGAGCTTCGAGAGCCTGCTGCTTCAAGACCATCATGAAGGTTGAACGAACAGTGAGAAAAAGGTCGAAGAGACTTTTGCCAAATTACATCAAACATTGACAATAAACATTCGGGCCGAACAAAGCTGTGTGGAGAGGTTCTAGAGCTCTGAGCGACATCGACCATCACACAAAAAGTCGCTCATCTGTCTGTTCGTTCCTACCGTTGACTGTCTTCTGATGGACTGCTCTCGATCTGGTGGCTTCCAACTCATTTGTTGCTCTATTTTTAGGACTGTCTCAGCCTTCGTTCTCCAGCTTGTATTAAGTCGGACTGCATACACCTTCTTACCCTCAACCTTTTTTGGCCATCGTATCATTCCTCTCTTCTCTCAGATTCCAGGCTCTTTCATATGTGGCTGTCTCTTGTCTTCTTCCGTCTCGGCTATGTACCGCCGGCAGGAATTTACTTTGCAATGACTCCTTTTGGTCCAGACCGTGCCATTCAAGCAAAAGGGCACCTCGGAGAATCAGCCCCCTCCAAATCATCTCATTTTTTTACTAATGCACGTGTGCTATTGGATCGCTTCCCCTCTCCGTGCAGAAAATATCCAAGTTCAGAGTTCAGCTTTTGCGCCACATTCAAGAGTCTCAATGCCAAGGAAGGAAATTCTCGAAGCTTGATTTCTGCTCAAAGAACCGGGTCCACACCGTTCTCTTGGCTCCGCTTCGACGCAAAGTGTTTCCTCGTATCTCGGGTTACCCATCGTTCCGATCCATGGATCCGTGGAACCAGCATCAGAAAATTGATTGAAAGACGTTCGACGGGATCCAAATGATCGGATCAGGTACGTTTCCAATTCAAAAAATGTTCAGATCTCGTACCGAAGGAGTGAGACGGAAACTAAACAATATAAATTGTATGTACTGTCATATACATACGTGTTCGTTGACTTTTTTCCCGTGGTACAGCTTGAACACCCCACAGTCCGGTTCGTCGAACCAAAACGTTCCCAAGCCCATGGCACCGATATCAAAGGAGCAAAGTAAGGTTTACATATTTCCTTTATGGGGGAGTAAGAATTTCGAATTCAATTTCGACACTTTGGACGTTCATCGAGACTTCTGAAGTTCTTTTTTATTGTATCATAATCTAGGTCCCCTTTCTCCTGGAAGGCTTTTTCTGCCTATGGGCTAAGAATACCTTCAGGTTCGAGTTCAAGTAGTTGATGTCTTCTTCTTTTTTTTCTCATCTTCCCGACGGGCATCATTAGCTGGCAAGTATCGAGCAACCTGAATATTCACTTGAATCCATGGCGAGAGAATCGACAGAATTACTCGCGGGTCGTCGTGCAGTATCCACCAAAGATATATTAGACATAGAAAACAACTCAAGCGGTATATTCCAACAATATTGACCAACACCACAAAGCTGTACTTATTTCGTTTCGTGAAAATACATATAGCTAACTAGCTATAGATCGGTAAGTCCGTGTGGACTACAATTCTTTTTTCACAGTACATACACAATGACTCCCTTAAGGCTCTAGATCTCCTGTTGTAAACATTAGTTCTCTCAAGGCACATCGGAAGCACTATGTACTGAGAAAGCAAATGAGCACAAAAGAAAGAAAGAAAGAAAGAAAGAAAAATAATCCAAACTTTATTCTATGACAGACTGCAATAAAATTAGGCTGAAAGGAACGGGCTTCTCAATCGCTTTTTTCAGGGATGACACTCGGAGAGAGAATCTTAGTTTCAATTGTTCAAGTTTTTCTCTTTTTCTGTTCTTCTACCAGTGCCTACTGCGATTATTACATACCTTCCCGACGAGAGGTTGGAGCATCAGAAACACCAATTTTGATCTTTTCTTCTGGCCGTTTCAACTTGAAACCAATAACTTCCATTCCTACTTCCTTAAGACCAAGCTTCCTTCAATTCATTTTTTTTCCCTGACAAATTCCTTTCTTCCCACTGGCTGGTCAGCTTGACATAAGTATACGTTATGTGATGTATATATCATATGTATATGTATTTTGATAGCACGAACCGTTCGAATTTTAGACCGTGCCACAGGAGAGGAAGTGGGATGGTTGAGAAGTTTGATTCAAGGTCCACAGTTGTCCATCATCTGGAATGAAGTGAACGCTTACTCATGAGAGTTCAACACCGACGAGTCGGAACGCCTGTACGTTATCAAACCTGGTTGAAAGTTTGAAGATCAACTTTTGTGGGAGCCACTGCTGTCGGCGGGTTTCAAGTTAGTGCCCCATCTTTTGTCATTATGTAGTTAGTATGTACATACGTCTTGACAAAAAGTTAACATTTACTCTTTCTTCTCTCAGTTCTCATGCAAACCGAAGAGAGAGAGAGAGAGAAAACACAATCATCATCGTACGATTCCATCATGATACTTCCAATTCTTTGCAAGAAAGAAAGATTTTATTCTATCTTTCTACTTAATTATATTTCGAGCGGTCTATAGTACACTATACTGTCAGGGCATCAGGACCCGGACGACCTTTTGATGGATGATGTAGAAACGTCAGACGTCGGGAGAAGTATGTACTACCACCATCCGTTCCATATCATTGTGACGCCTTGCACGCGCGCTATGTAGACATCGTATAGTATCAGTGCCCATTTATCAAGATTTCGAAAGCAACCCAGTCAGATGTTCAATCGTTCGTAGGCACCCGATCGAGAATTCGTGAAGCTTGAGGAGGCACATAAGTCGAGGTACCGGCCTATGTCATTAGAACTGTAGGGAGAAATTGGCAGTGGGACTTTTTTAACGATTCCCACCCCTTGAATCCCCCCGTTCCAAACCCCTAAATTGCAAGGAGACGAGCGTTATTATTAGAAGGGGAAAAAAGAAAGAGTCCTAAAGAATGACAGATTTCAAACATCGAGAACACCAATGTGTGTGAGAGAGAAAGAGGAGGGAGAGAGAGAGACGTGTGGACTGCGCACTATAGCTATAGGAGTACAAGAAGTTACCTTGGAATTTGCAATCAAGTTTGACAACGACTGTGGCAAAATTGGTGTCGAAAGAAAACCGCAAGGAAATACCTTAACCAAATTTTGAACTTTTAATGAACGTGAGTACGGATTCAGGATTCAGTTCAAGTACACTTGAGCATACATGTGTATGTGATTAAATCCGTATAGCACTTTGTGCAGCTTGGGCTCCGTTGATGGGGTGCTGAGCCTAGATACTAAGATGGATAGGTAACTGATTTGACATCCCGCTCCCTCTTATGTCCGAACCAACAACTCTCCAATCGCACGCATGTGTCAATATATGGCCACCGTCTAGCAGTGGTCAGTATCCGCTAGAGTCACTGGTTGCAGTCTGTGGCATATGCTTCTGCGGTATGAAATTCATTTCTACTATGTTGGCTTCCTCGCATAATGTTGCTCTTTGAAGGGCTTCATCAAATGAATGTCTAGACGGGCAAGAGATTCCGAGATAATCAATGGTGATACGATCTACAACATCTGGACAAAGAATTTGAAGTCTAGTGGAGAATAATTCGCCCTCAGTACACAATTTGTTTTGGCATTTGCTCTATAGTAGGAACCAAGTGAAAAAGAAATATGTACTTGTTCTTGTTATAATTAATGTTAACACGGGACCTTCAGAATAACTGAAATGGTCTTCAGTCTGCTGCCCTCACCATAGTAACTGAGTGAAAAAAAAACGTCTTTAACTCATCTCATTGGGGGTACCGCGGATCGAACGCGGGACCTTCAGAATACCCGAAATGAACTTCAGTCTGCTGCTCTCCCAGCTGAGCTATACCCCCGCTGACTTCTATCAAGTGTATGTAACTCATGCCACGCTTCTCTCCAACACATTCACAATCCATCTCAACCCTTCGTTCCCTTCAAACAACCCATACTTCCACGCTAACGGGAAACAATGCATCTGTCCTTCCCACTTCAACCACTCTCCCTCGACCTCGTTCTCTCGGCACCTCTCATAAAAAACCATCGCGTCAGGTGCGAGAACGTCAAACGTTCCTACAACACCGTGAATCCTCACACCTCCATCTCGGAGTTTCGCAAACTTGGTATTTTCGACAAGGTTCGGTGAAAGTTCAGGTCGATCTAAAGTCCATTGACTCCGAAGCTGATGCTCAGACCCTAATAAACCTGCCCAAGCTTTGGCTACGTGCGCTGTGAGTGGAATCGTCAAGACAGGATCGTGTCGATCGGCTTCGGTCATTGACGGATTTTGGTTCCGTAAATCCGTGGGTGGAGATATGACGAACACGTTTTTTAGGGGTTCGAGTGTGGTGTTAGCTTCTGAGACTTGTACGTGCTGGTCGGCCCACCAGAATGCGAGAGCGAGAACGATGTTCCCGCCAGAAGAGTCACCCATGAGGGTGATAGACTCATTACCCCTGGCCGATTCCATACAAGTGGTCTTGAACCACTCGTACAAGACCGGTAATGATTCCGGAGCTGGACTGTTCGGTGCAAGGGGATAACTCACAAGAGTGATGCAGTACGTGTTTGATAACTGCCGACAGAGTTCTGCGCAAAAAGACCAATGATCTTTGCTTGGAGGGGATTGGAAGCCTCCTCCAGCAAAGTAGAAAATTCGATGAGTGTGTGAGTGAGAAGTTTGTTTAGCAACTTGAAGGGTGGTTTCTGATTCGAAGGTGATATTGTTAGAGTCGGACTTAGGAGTCGTGGTACATTGAAAATCGTAAAGGTTCACTCCTTCGACTTGTCGATGACGGATAGAATAAGACTTCGTTTTGGGTGGTGTGAGATTGGGCGAACCTGCAGGGCATCGTTTACCTGGGTTAACCAATCGAGGACGGATTGGGCGAATGACGATTCGTAAGAGTTTATACAGGGTGGACAAGTCGGATCTTGTAGTCAGTTTCATCCTCTCGCTGGATGTTCCTCGCAGAAAAAGACGCAGCTGGAGTTGGCGGAAATCAAGAGAGGTGGAGGTCTGTGCTAAGTGTCGAGCGCAATGGCATCTGCCTATGACGTATCCAGATTTGGAGTGCAATCGCGTTCTCTGGGACACCACGATCGCAAATAATTTCGATGATTCGCTGAACTTGGCATCACATCATGCATCATGAATGGACGTTATGCTATCGAAAGTAAGTCCTGAACATACTACTCCTATGATAAGGCACCGGAGAAGAAATACCGTCCGAGTCGACAAGTCATCATATAATGAAATACTAGAGAAGGAGAACCATCCAGAATTCTCGAAATTCTGTGCCTGTTCCATTGTACTGGTATGCGCGAAGATTCATACAACTTTTTACAAGCAGTGCAAGTGCTGCGCAGATGCATGGGTCATGTTTTTACAACCTACCTGTCACTAGCTTCCATATCGAAATTTGATTCCATCGTCCCGGATTAGAAGAGCCAGGTTCAGTTCCTCGAGTTCCCAGTTCGTTTTCCAAAGACCGTCCGTATTTCTGCTTTGCCCAAGTCTCGAAACTCATCATGCCAGGCTCAGGGTAGGCTTTTCTAGAAAAGGATACTTGATGGTGCCATCTCTCAGAGTCTTCGGAATTGGAGGTGATAAGGTGCACTCGTTCAATGTCGGCGAGACTATGTTGAAAAGAATGGAATTAGCCATTAGGAGAATGCAAACTATGGTCCTTCGAGATAACCCAAAGTTTTGATGACTTACAGATCCTTTGTGTGAGAATTGAGAGATATGAGTGCTCGGGCAAGGAACTTGGGGATAGAAGGGAGAGAATGACCAGTAGCTTTCCTGTACGCAGTTTCTTGAGAGGAAATGGTCGAGCGCTCGCCCGCGAGAGGAAGGATTTCGTGCTTGAATTGATCGGGATCCTGGAAGGTGTGAAGGTTTTAATTACAGAACGAACGCATAAGGTGATTCGCAAACTTAGAACCTTGAACACTCCCGCTGCCACACGGCCAATATCATCTACTGCCTGAAGAGAATACATTATCATAGAGGAATTTTGGACACAGATATAAATAGAAAAGATTGGGAGGTTTTCACACGTACAATCATTTGGATCGTCGTTGTAGGTTTCAAACCAGTTTTCAGAACACCGACTGTGATTGAACCAATGGTGCCTTCGTAGTTCTCCATAAAGAAAGATGGTCGTAAGATCCTGGGACACAAGAAGTAAACATGTTTTGATTGAGGCAAGTGTCCTCTACAAGTGACACGGTAGTAAATCACTCACGTCCATGGTAATCCTTTCTCTCCCAAAGACTTGATATGATGCTCTATTCTCACTTTAGCAAGTCTGTCCAACACAGCCTTGTCATCATCTCTCTCGCTACCCCTCTCAACGGAAGAGAACACAAAAGACTGAACATCATATTCTAGTGCCAGGTCAGCCAGGTTCTGTTGGTCAAATCAGCAAAGATTTAGCTTGAAGTAAGATCGACGAAGGACCTAAGTCACCTTTCCCTGTTTCTCTTCCCCATCAGCATTTGCTCCCAGTCCAGGAAACTTCAGGACACAAAAGACACCCCATATCCCACCTAATCCATTCGTCTTGTATTCTTCAAATATACTCCGGATGGACTGGACATCGTCCAGGTTTCCTACAACTACCGATACGTTCTGTTTTCGAGAGAGAAAAGTCGCGGCTGAGGACGATGTGTTTCTGGTGAGAGCCAAAATATGAAAAGGTTCCTGAGGTTCTGAGTCGGAAGTCGAGCTACTTGAGAATGGAGTAACGGTACTGAGGGAAGCAATTAGAGCCTCTCCTTGGCGCCCTGTAGCTCCAGAGACAAGAATGACCTTTCTAGGCATTGTGTTGATAGTTCAACGAGAAGGGGATATTTAAAACATTCGCAGGATAGCACTATTCGGACGCGACCAGTGAAAGGTTATTCAAACGCGTCACGGTCCGACTGAGTCTGAACTGTGAGCGAGATGTTACACTAATGACAGTCCAGTTGTAAACTTTGTGTAGCTCAAATATAACCCCAGCAAAAGACAACAGAACAAAGGCGCTACAAATGTGCTTGATTTTTTTTGGTACGCCCAAGACTCAGACTTCAATCGATCCAACGCGACACAATCTCCCATCGACATCCTCTACCCACCGGTCACCACCAACAGCCGTCGACCCATACAACATCTCATCAGGATCATATCTATCCTTGATCTGTAGCAAACGATCATAATTTTCCCCATAAAACGCGTGTTGCCAATCTGGTTCATCGGAATTGGCCTAAAAAGAAAGAAAGAAAACACCGTAAATCAGGAATGAATTGCCAAAAAAAAAAAGCCAGACAAACCTCGTTCAGATACGTTCCCGAGTTGGGTGCAAGCTGACGCAACGGCGGGTCAATGACGTTAGTAATTAGGTCTCGGGAGGCAAGCATTTCTTCACGACTCGCTGTGTCGTTCCATGGCCTGTCGGAAAAAAAAATATTCCGCTAATCAACTTTTTGGGGGACTAGAGGAGTGAAAGAAAAGGCGGCGCAACGCTTATCGTTCTCCTCGAGCTCGGAACTTACACTAAAGTTATCAACAACTTCTCCGCCGTTCTCCAAGCAGGTAAAACCGCATTCGCAGGAGCGTTCTCGTCTTTGGCCGTCGCTTTCAGAGCGACATCGTAAGCCGAAGCACCAGCTTCTGTAATGTTTCTCAAAACTCGAACCGTATCTGGAAGCATCTCGTCGTCGAAAAGTTCTCTAGGAAGCAGACGACCACCAAAGTTGGTCGTTCCCACTAGGATATCTTGGAAAGTAGGAACGTTTGCGTATGCAGTCCGAAAGTTTGAAAAAGAGGCGACGTTATAGGTGTAATTGATAGATAATGCGGACAGTTTTTCGAGGAGAGGGTGGGTAAGAGTGTTCATTTCGCTAACGGTTCTGTTTGGCAAAAAGAGAGGTGCCCCTGAAAAGCTTTCCTGTGAATAGAGAGCGACCGCATATCCACCTGCGTGGTATGGTCTGTTAGTGTCGTCCAACACTTGATTAACATAGAAAAGTACCTGCGTCTGTAAAACTGGGGGTAAAGGTCGAGTAAGCGCTCAGAGCTTCCCAGTATGAGTCTTGAGATACCCCAGCAGCAGAGAACGTGAGGTTTGCTACCGTGACGGGAAAATCTGGATGAGCTTTTACAGTGACTGTCCAAACAACTCCATACGTTCCGCCACCCTGTAAGAGTTGTCATTCATTTACAAGAAGAAAAAAAGCTTTGTATCCGAAACTCACCCCTCCACTAAGTGCCCAATACAGATCTGCATGACTTGTCGGAGAAGCAGTGATAAATTTGCCGTCGGTGGTGATGACTTCGTACTCAAGCGCTGAGTCTGCCGCTAATCCATATAACGAAGTCAAAGTGGAATGTCCAGCCCCTTGAATGTAACCCCCGGTGAACCCAACGGTCTAGACAGATAATAAGCGAATGTTCATCTATGGTAGAAAGGAGAAGCCATTTTACAGGACAGTCGCCCCCGACAACAGTACGACTTCTTTCCGCAGCAAAGTCATACAATTGCTCAACCGATACGCCACCAGACGCTTTGAAAGCGGGACCACGATATGAAATGGACTCGAAGTCGTCTATCCATTCAATATCTCGAAGATAATGCGTCCAAATAGCTAATCCACCCTTCCCGGTTGACTTGCCCATGTAACTGCAGAAAGATTGATTGAGGATAGGGACACCAAAATACTAAGTAGCAGCGAACGCACTCATGACCTGTGTTTCGCACCACAAATCTAATGTTATGCTTCTTTGCAAAATCCAGCGTTTTGATCACATGGACCTTGGTCGAGACATTGACGGCGTATTGGACATAGGACCCAATGATACATTGGGCGT